AAATGGCAGAAGGAAACCCTTCATCAGCAGAGATCCCTTCACAGGTTAGAAGAGCGGACTCACCCATCAAGAGGTAGCCTGGTCGCCCCGGGGCACAGTGTTGGCCCTTCCCTCCTAGGGGGAAGCATGCAGGTGAACAGACGGACGCCGGGCACTGCCGGGACTGCGCCCCTACGCGAGCGGTCCTCATGAAGGGGCCCCAAGGAGATCTCAGCAACAGGCTTCTTCAAACTTCCTAGGGGGCTTTAAAGTCCTCTCGGGCTTGTCTCTGGCAGCTCCCTTAGAAGAGGTTCGCAGGAAGTAGAGACCTAAACAACTGAGGTCATTCTTTCAGCGCCTGCTGTCCCCCGACGCTGCAGTAGGCCCGCAGGCAGAGCAGGGAACGAGGCCATGCCCCTCGGTGAGCAACAGCCATGCCTGGATAGTCCGCAAGGTGCACATGTAAAGGAGGGGCCGCGGGAGCAGCTGGGAGGGAAAAGCTCTCAGGAGCTTCCCTGAGAAAGGGTGCTCAGAGGTGAAGGGTGAGCCGCAGCTAATGGGTACTGTGAGGGGCACAGGCTGGGAGCATGGAGGATGCTGGGCAGAGACAGTGTCCATGGAGGGACAGCATGGCCGAGTGGGGAGTGGTGGGGGATGCTGGGGCAGGGACAGTGTCCATGGGGGGACAGCATGCACAGTGGGAGTGGTGGGGGACAGTGGGGCAGGGAGGCCCAGCTGTATGAATGGGATGTGTGCAGGGGACTGGTGGCCCTGGCCAGGCCTCACAGAGAGCCCAAAGCGGGAAGCCTGCAGAGCCTTGTGGAGGGAGGGGCAGATGACACCTGGCAGGGCTGGGGGCTGGCTGGGTCCCACCCCCTCACCACAGCACGCACACACTGGGGCCACCCTGGCAGCCCTGTGCAGACACTGCCCGAGGCACCATCTGGGTGCCTAGACACCTCAGCCTGGGCAGTTAGGACAGGAGACACCCTCCACCTGACAGCAGCTCAGTGGGGCCTTCAGCAGGCCCCTGCCCTCCTAGGCCCTTGTCTGTCCCCTGCCTCAGCCCAGACATGCCAGGGGCACACAGGGGTGCTTTCAGAGACACAAGGCAGGTGACTCAGCCCAGCCAGGGCTCAGGGCCAAGGGGGTGGGGATGGGGCTCTGCGAGTGGGCGTCAGGCCCAGCGGTACCCAAGCACTTCCTTTTCTCCAGGGCTGTCTGGGCAGCCGGGGGAGACAGCAGGGAAGGACCCCCATGAGGGGGTGACAGCAGGGGTATTCCTGGGGTTACCCTGACACCCAGTGGTGGCTCTCAGCACCAGCTGCCACGAGGAGGAAGTGTGGCCACCCCGAGAAGCTGGGGGGCGGGGGCGGGAGACAAGGACAGGGGAGTGCGAGGCTAAGGATGAGGGACAGGGGGAGCAGGAGCCCAGGGGAGGCTGGCATCTGCTCTTGACCGGTGGGTCTGGACTTGACCTTGGAGTGTAGCCAACCCGAGGGTGGAGCTGCCAGCTCAGGAGGTCCAGGCTGAGCCGAGAACCCACACTCCTAACGGTTTCCCAGGTGCCCCGAGCTCAGGGAGCACCCCCACTCAGAGAACCACGAGCTCAGGAAAGGGATGGACTGGAAGCGAAGGGGTATCCACTCCCGGGGGCCTCCAGGGCTTTGTTATTACACCTGCTGCATGGAAGAGGCAGCTAAGGCTTGGAGAGGCCGTGCCGTGCCCCCAAGGCGCTGGCCTGAAGTCCTCCCTCGACCCCTTCTTCTGCCCGGAGCAGTCACACAGCCTGCTCCTGCCTCCGTCATCCCCAGCTGGGCGGGCACAGTGGCTCCTGAGAGCAGTGCTCAAGCCACCACGGGCACCCTGCCCAGAACACCTCCCCACAGGGGCCCAAGGCCTCCGCCCCCCACTGTGCCCGGGATACGCTCTGCATGCCCATGAGGTGCCCACCTGGCCTCACACAGCTGACCGACAGAGCCAGGCTCAGGAGCATCCCAGGCTCTTGCCCCCTGGAGGGTGACCCTGTGGGGGGCATGGCATCTGGATGACAGGGCTGCCAGCCCCGCGAGGACCCCAGGGGGAGGCCTCTGACCTGACTCCCCACTGGCCAGGCAGAGAAGGGTCCAGAGTGCCAGGCGCAGCCAATGCCACATGTGGCCTCGCACTGTGTCCTCCTCATGGCAGTGCTGAGTGGGAAGGCAGAGCAGCCTTCTAGGATGTCAGCAGGCATGGTGTCAGCAGGCTGGGGGAAGCTAGGGCCAGGGGGGTGTCCCAGGCCTGACAGAGGTCTGTGAAAAGGGGGCCGGTGAACAGGCAGACTCTGGCTGTCCTAGACCCCCAGGGACTTTCTGGGCTGGACTCCCAGGAATATGCTCTGCTCAGCAGCACCTGGGCACTGGAGTTGGGACCTTACTGTTCCTGAGCCGAAGCACACGGTGCCCCAGGGGAGGCAGGGGTGAGTCAGCCGAACACGGGCGAGAACGCGCACCTCACAGAAAGCGCAGATGGTCAGCAGCAGCCATGGAATTTGCCACAATGCTCAGTGAACATCTGATGGGCTGAATGAACGTAACGTTAGTAAAGAAGAGGATGAAATGACTATATTCCTTGCCGGAAACAGTGAATGTCCTCTAGGCCCAAAACTGCCCATCAGCTGGTCAGCAGAGAAATAATTGAAGGAAACAGCTGTGGCCAAATGACATTGCTGTTGTGTAAACCAACAATTTACACGTAATTTGCATACACCTGCTTTACTCATCAGTAATATTGTGGAAAACCCTCATGTCCACTGAGTGTTGAGGATAGTAGCTGCCTGTCATTACAGACCATGGACTGTCAGCAGATGTGGCCGGGGTGGCTGCTGCCTGAGCTTGGACTACAGTCCCAGATCCCTGAATACAAGCAGGGCCCACTGACTAGCTCTCCCCGCTGGACTGTGAACACAAGTTTGAACACCTCTGCCAAGCTGAGGACTGGATGTGTCTGAAGCATCGTTCTCTTCCAGCAAGATGCAGAAGCTCCCACAGAGGACTCCAAGGCAACCAGAGGGAAGCAGCTGGGTCCCTGAGTTGCCGCCTGGAGCAGAAGTCTCCCCTCCCTGGCACCACAGCAGACTGGAACCTGAAGAGTAAAGCTTTCAACCCTCAGCTCCTGAGACCTGAGGGGGCTCATGCCAGCCGTCAGCCTCTGTGGCATACAATGACAACAGACTCCTGCTTCCTGGCGGGTCTTGGTGTGATCCTGGAGGGGCAGACTAACCTAAGAGCATTAGACAGTTACGCTCCAGGGAACTCCATCACCCACCAGTCCACCAGTTCTACTTGGCCAGAGAACACAATGCCCTCTAGAGCCCACACTGGGGTGGCATGACTTTCATACGTTACCCTTCCTTATAGTACTGTTAGCCAATGGCAAGTCAAAGGGCCTGGACAAACCACAGACGAATACTGTGAATAGCAAGCTATGTGCTGATGTTAAGTGAAAACACACGAGGCGCAGGACAGCGGACACCAGCAGTGTTCTGAGTGTGAGCCAAGGACCGCTGGAGTACCTAAGCCTTTTCAGCGGTCTGCTAGGTCCTCCCTGCCCAGTTGCACAACTACACGAGGCCATGTTTCCTTCCACACCTCGCCAAGAAACAAGTCACAGAATACTTGGGTGCAGAAGCAGAGAGAAGCCAGCTGTCCTCTCAAGCCAGATGCTACAGAAAATTTTCAAATGTGAAGATGATGCCTCACTGATTTTTAAGAAGTATTTTATATAAATCACATATTTTAAAACATCACTATACAGTAGGTTTACCTTTTTTTTTTTTTAAGCTTTAAATTTCTCTATTTTCTAGTATGGTAAATAATAAAATATAACTCACATTTAAAAAGCTCTCTCTGGAGGCCTCAAAAGTTTAGTAGTACAAAAGGATCCTGAAACCAAACAGTTTGGATACCATTGGTGTGTTCTATCTACCCTTTTATATGAAACAGGAAGAAAAATAATCTACCTTTGTACTAATTTATATATGCATCAAGAAACTCATGAAAGATAAATAAGCCAGTATCAGTGGTTAAGCAAAGAAAGAGTAGGAAATGGGCAGACGGAAGACCCTTTCCTGAACCTTCTTTTTATTTTGGAACTATGTATATGTATGACCAATGTAAAAATTAAGTTAAAAAAATAAAATAAAAGCACAGAGGCATGACCGAGATGGGAATACAGTCAGGCTTCAAAGGGTGTATGAACAGTGTCTACCCTGCCCACACCCACATCCAGAAATAACTGCCTCAAGGCCAAATATTAGAGGCTCCGTCTCTAGAGAAATGAAACTACGAGACTCAGCTTTCTAGTATGAGACACCCTGTCTTGAACTATATAGGCAAGCACACATCACCATTTAAACAAAGTCTGCAATGGGTGAGATAAACAGAAAAGCTAGTCCCGAGGAAGCCGAGGGAATTGAGAGGTAATTTAAGGTAATTTTAAAAAATAGGAAGCCAGGTACCCAAAGATATGGAAGTTGCTGGAGCCACACTGCCAAGTGGATCTGGCTGAGGAAGGCACTGCCAATTTTCCGATCATCTTTAAAGTATTATTACACATGCCGCCTGTATGTTCCTGGGGAAACAATATTCTTCTATGCACACAGCAGAGGAAAAGAGAACCTTTTATGATCAGATAAAAGCCTGTCTCACTACCTGTGTACTCCTGAGAAAAGTGCTTACACTTGAGCCCGTTTCATCCGGGGTACCTGGGGTACACCTGCCTTACAGTTACTGTAAGAATGTATCGCTTCTGAAGTTTCAATACATTCCCAGGCACTTAGGGAATGCTCATAAATGACAGTCGCATTGCCCATGCTGCAGCAGAAAAGCTCACAGTGTGTCACCACAAAATTCTACCTCTGGCAGATCGGTGGTTACCACAGGTAAGGGGATGGGGAGGTGAGAGAATGGATAAAGTTTTGGAGTTTTTTTGTTGCTTAAATAAATTGAATGTTTTTCTTAAAAAGTCACGATGAAACCTGCTTTTAAGGTTAACAGTCATTTAATGTATTAACATTTTCATTTATAAACATACAATTTGCATATACAGGGAAAAATAGGTTCTGTGGACACAACAAAATATTAGAGACAGAAGCAGTCAGAAAAGAGATCAATTCTAGGGAAAAAAATGTAGCTGCATTCCATTTCTGCATCTACACAAACTTGGGAAGGAGAAAGAAAGATTACACAGGGTCACAACTGATGCAGAAAATGAGCTTGGGCCATTCTGTCCCGACTGCAGGAACCTCCCTTTAGGACCTCTGACCTCATATCCTGGTCTGGCCTGTTTCACAAATAATGGCCTGAAGCACAGCCATGGGTCTCTCCCTTCTCTGTACTATGCGAGACCCTAAAGCTGACTCAAGAAATTAAAAGAACAGAGCTAAAAAACAATCAGATCAGCACATATGCAATGTTAGTGGCCAACTTCTTCCAGGTATATTATTTAAAAGTACAAAAGGAAGTAAATGCTTACTCAGACCTGAACAAATTCCAAAGTGAAGCAATCACAGGGTTGGCACCTGCGGGAGTTGGGCCCAGGGAAATGAAGTCCCGCGGCCCACCTTTATACCTAGCCTGCGTTTCACATCAAAACCAAGTCACTAGTGACAGTGAATTTCCAGGTTCAACTATAGTTTTCTAGGGACAGGGACATGCGTAGCCAAATTTCAGTCTATAGCTCATCCCTTTAGCCGGGGGGCTCATCCGTTCAGCCAGGGGAACACAGGGAGACTGTTTGCTTCAAGCACATTTCGATGACCTGACAGTACTCTGGTTCTCATAACTCAAACTCAAAATTAATACCCCAAGGTACCATTAAAAACCATATTTTTTAAGTAAACCAAACAGCCTCAATAATGATTACCATATGAACAAAACTATTTTTATGATACAGGATATAAAACCTTTTATTAAAAGGAACCTTTTTAACCATGAAAACCAGTGCTGCCATGCATATCTGGCAATTTTCCTCTATGTCAAACATCCAAAGAGATGGCAGTCAAGTACACGTCCTTTCAGCTGAAACACTTTCCAGGGTCACCAAGTCCACTAGAATTGGCCAGGAAAACACACCTGGGGTAACCACAAAGTTCATTGGGCATCTGGACTCATAGGAGGTTGATTTAAGTCTGCCTCAGAGATGGAGTCGGCAGACCAGTGAAATGAGTGTAGATAAAACCGGCCTCTGAGAATGACGAGCGCTGGTGCCACTAGGGGTGTATTTTATGTGAAAGAGAGCTACACGGAGTGTAGGGGCAGGGACCTTCGCTGAGCCGATCTGCCTTTGTAGAAGTACATTCCTTAAAGCATGCAACACAGAAAACTGGAATAATTAGCAACTTGAAATATTCACATAAAGAAATATAAAGTAACAGAAATGCAAAACTGGGGGCTTTCTAGAGTTTCACCCATAGCTAGGGCTCAAAATTAAGTGGTGTAAGCTTGCCGATGACATCTGAGTCTGGAAATAAAAACAAGGCTGGTGTCCTGGTCAGGTTGAGAGAAATCTTGCACAGGTCACTCATGCCCTTAGGCCTCATTTTTGCCATCTATAACCTGAGTCTCCCCCACAGCCATGGTCCCAAGAGCCCCCACCAGGCCCCACTGGGGCTCCACACATCCCAGAGTTCAGGGGACAGTCCCTGTTCCCCAGTCCTACACAAAACAGAACACCTGCTCTTTAAAAGCCTTCAGAGGGACCAAGAGCATCCTGTGCACAGCGCAACCCCTGAGGCCGGCCACGGCGACCCTGGGACTGCGGCGCTCCTTCCAGTGTCCTCACCATTCTTTTCATTTTACCTTCTCAACAAGTAGAAAAATAAGCTGTAAGTAGGCTGATAACTGGCAACCAAAATACTCAAAGCAGACACTAAAAACATAATGTCTCTGAAAAAAGCAAATCTACCTCCACATATTTGTTTACAATTGTTTTATCTTCTTCATGATTTAAAGGATGAAGCCCTAACACTAGGAGGCTCAAGTCAACTCCTAATTGGGATGTTTTCCAAGGACATCTACCAAAAACAGAAAGTGAAACGGAGAAATCACGTTAAAAGGGAGGACTTGCCTTCCCCCCGGTCCCCCTGAGCAGTCAGCCTTGCTGGAAGCCTGCGGGCCTGAGGTTGCAGAGGAATCACATCACTGCCTTGGGAAAGTCCCCTGGCAGCTCACCAGCCGGCAGCTCCTGCAGTGACATGAGCCAGTTCTGGTCTGAGGTGTCTGGTCTGTCTGGCATTAAACGGAAAGAAGCTGCAGCTCTTTTCACCATAATCAGTCACTCATACATCACTGTACTGTTAATGTGACACTAAGAGAAATTACTCCTTAAGCACTACTCCTGCCTCTACAATGAAAATGCCTTTCAAAACAGGTATGTTCAAAGAAGGCATTCCAGAAGTTCCACAAGGAAGCTTCTGAAACAAGCCAGTGCCCCAGACAGCCCATGTTTTAGCTAAACAGCAGTCAGCAGCCTTCTCTGTGCTACTTACATGGGTGAGTTATGACTCTGATGTCGCTACTTTGAAAAGAACTATTAAAACTATTATTAAAAACATTTATCACAAACAGAAGTGCCCTGCAAATAATATTATTGCACACAGGGTATCAGAAGCTATGCACATCCAGATTTCAAGGGCTTTAGAAGACCCAGAACAGAGACCCCAGGGCCATGCCTGTGGCTGCTCCGGCCAGCATGCCCAGCGCCAGATCACTGTCATTGTCTCGATACCGCTCACGAATGATGACTTGATTGGCAGGCTGCTGTCCATAAAGTCCTATAAGAAGAAGGAAAAAATAGTCCTCTGAGGAGCAGTTTGTGAAGACCAACATTCTCTCAAAGAGATGGCTCACTCGACTGGGAACCTTTCTGAGTAGGTGAGGTCCTTTCTCCACGTATGTGCACCCCTCCTCCCATGGCCTTGTCTTCCTCTAGAGACAGGTGGGGTGGTGGCAGTGAGTGCTACCCAGTACCCGCACGACAGGCCAACATGCTGCACTTGGCCTAGTGAGAACGCCTCCACCCAAGGTCGCACTAAGAGCAAATCAAGATGCTCAGCTTTCCAGTGTCCACAGTCTCAAACCCTGCAAAGAACAGAATCCTAATGAAGCTGCGAACTCCAGCATTCAGTGTCCATGTCAGCCCTCCACATCATGCTTGTTAGGATGACAGGGAGATGGGGGAGGGTGTGATGCACAGAGCCTCAGACAGCAGGAGTTAAGAATCCCCAATAAAAGCTAAAAAAGAAAAAAACCTACTTAAAAGCTAATTAATTTCTTAGTATTCATGCAAACATTTTTAGGTTAAACCCTGAATCTGCTAATATAACTTGCTCTTCATTTTTAATCATATGCCTTTAAGGGGGAAAATATCTATGTTAGAGTCTAAAAGCAAACTTTAACAAACTTAATGCTTAATTTGCATGATTAAAGTTTACATATAACTGGAAATGTATAGTTCATTCCCTTCTATACTTCATGGCTATATTATCTAACAGCTACTTAGCTTTAAAATTGCTCACATAAGTGTAGTGGTAACTTTCCTCCTTAACCTACTATTACATTAACTGTTCAACCTTAAGAGAGCTAAAAACTAATCCAATGTAACGTGTACACGGAGACGAGTGGAAGTAAAAGCAACAGTGACGACCCTTGTGAGTGTCCCGGTATAACCACTTGCTCTACCACCAGCAGGTCTATGCGCTGACGCACTCAGTCCTCGCCACAACCTGACGAGATGAGTATACTACTGTGCCCATTTCAGACAGAAAGTGAGCACACAGGGATGAGGGCAGAGGGGTACGCCAGCCCCGCTCAGGGCTACAGTGTGTGCTCATGACCTCCAGTGCCTCAACTACACAGAGGACGAGAGGAGAGAGGAAAAGAACCACTGAGCAGAACAAACCCCACAGAACAAACCCCACCTAAGTGCCAACTAAGTACAGGGAACAGCACTGCAAGCCAGAGATTTTTTCAGCAATGTTTAAAAACTGGTGAATTGTCGCATCCACTTTCATGGCCTTGAAATTTAAAACCTTTCAAAAAGGCAACTCTGACCAGTGAAGTGTAACATAGTGGGAATGTGTCAGCAGGCCTGATTAAAAGACCCTCTGGAAAACCTAGCTCTGTGTCCCACCGCAGGGCACACCAGGGACGCCCTCACTGCGCACCAGAGACCATTCTGCAGGAGAGTTCCGGTAACCTCTGTCCCCACCAGGGAGCTAAGTCCTTAGCAAAGCAAGCTGGGGACATTTCCAAGTCATACTTACTTCAATTACTAATTTAATTTAACCAAGCTCTACACAAATAGTCAAAATGTAAAGGTGCAAAAGGCAGAAACTGAACTGTTTCTATGACAGGTAAGTTAGGTACTTTGGGAAAGACTAAACAAAGGCAGAACTTTCACAAATTACTATCAAACTGAGGAAATGAAGTAAATTATATAAGATGGGAAGGGGAAGCTCCAGTCACGAAATCTAGAGGTCTGCTCTTGGACACACCCCTGAACTCGGCATTGCAACCACCTGTCATGAGTACAGTGTCAGCAAGACAGAGAAGACTCCACCCAACAGAGACCTGCCAGAGCGAAGACCCCAAGCCCTCAGGCAAGGGCAGCTAACAAACATCCACTGCTGTGGGCAAATTAGAACAGAACACTCGGGGGGCACAAAGCACTCTTTGTACTTTTTGAACTGGCCGACTGACCACTGGTCCCAATCATATTAAAGAGAAGGCCTTTAACCAGCTCTACACATGACAAGGTGTCTATGGACACAGGAAGGCAGTGCACGGTGTAGCTGGCGAAGCGCTGGGTCGTCTCAGAAAGGCTGGGTGGGGAGCTCCCGCCTGGCTGTCAGTACAGCACAACCCTCCACAGTGGGTGCTCCTACTACCAATCACAGTGCCCAAGCTGAGCACCGGCCAACCTCACTCAGGCCTCTGGGGCAAGCGTCCCGAGGTTGCCTGTGAGGGGGCTCCTTTTCTTTGAGGAAGTCAGGGGCAAGGACAGAATCCAATTTACAACATTTCTCTACATGCACTTCTGCTCTTCCCTACAGTAAGAAACAGCTGAGATTACCCCAGTCTTTACGGTAGCCTAGAAGCAGAATTAAGAAGCTAGCTCTCACGGTATGTGGTATTATAAACTGATGAACTGTTCTGAGAATCAACCTGGTAAATGGTATTAAGACTTAACTGTAATCCAGAGATGGGAAGAGAAGGAAGGTGAAACAATATCAGCCATGTGGTTATTATTGGTGACAAGGGCTGTTACACCTACAATTTGATTCAGGTGAGGTGAAAGACGGACAGAAGTACATCAAAATCCCAGAGAAGCCCTTACAGGCCTTTACTGGACTTGAAAAATGGAACATCACTTCATTAGTGATAATTTTCAAAGGATGCTACCAGAAGGAAAAATTATGAGAAAAATGACCTCTTATCTGTTAAAACAGGCCTCTTAGTTTGGTTGCTCCTTTAATGTAAGTGAAACCCAGCAAGTACAAATTCTCTTCTTGGGATCAAATTTGGATATGACAGTGAAGTTTTAAAAATAAAGCATACCCTAGCTTTGAAAAAGCAGTGTGAAAATATATATGCTTTTTTCTTAAAGCATAGCAGCAAAGTGATCTGTGTTCTATAACCAGGAAACATAACTCACTTATCCTTAAACTAAGAAATAAAAATACAGGCTTCACTGATACACCAACTAAATGAAGAGAAATAAGGAACAAAGGCTGGCATGAGTTACCTGCATACGGGTACTGGTAGGGTACAGCATACGCCTGCCCATTCGCAGCATAGACAACTTGAGTTCCTGGTGGGTATGTACCACTGTATGGACCATAGCCATATGCCTGCTGAAAAAAAAACAGGGCCATTAGAAATACAACTTTGAAATTCAATATCCGTTTATAACAAAAATTCTCAACAAAGTGGGTATAGAAGGAACATACCTCAACATAATAAAGGCCACATATGACAAACTCACATCTAACACTGTACTCAACAGTGAAAAGCTGAAAGCTTTTCCTCTAAGATCAGGAACAAGACAAAGATAACCACCCTCTTACACAAAACCACAATGAGGTATCACCTCACACCAATCAGAATGGCCACTATCAAAAAGACAAGAAATAACAAGTGTTGGTGAGGATGTGGGGAAACAGGAGCCCTTCTATACCGTTGGTGGGGACATAAACTGGCACAGCCACTGTGGAGAGGAGTAGGAAGGTGCCTCAAAAAAACAAAAAAATCGTATGACCCAGCAATTCCACTTCTGGGTATTGTATTATATCATCTGAAGTAAACAGAAATATTAACTAGAAAAGATAACTGCACTGGTGTTCACTGCAACCTTATTTACAATAACCAAGATACGGAAACAGCCTAACTACCCATCAATAGGTGGGTGGATAATGAAGATGTATATAATTCACACACACACACACATACATAAAAAAAGAATGAAATTCTATCATTTGCAACAACATAGAAGGGCCTTGAGGGAATTACAATAAACAAATTAAGTCAAAGACAAATACCGTATGACCTCAGTTACATGTGTAATCTAGGGAAAACAAAGAATTCACAGATACAGAGAAAAGACTGGTGGTTGCCAGGGATGGTACGTGGGTAATGGGTAAACTGGACAAAGGGGATCAAAAGGTACAAGCTTGCAGTTATAAAATGAGTCCCGGGAATATAATGTAGAGCATGGTGACTACAGTTAATAATACTCTACTGCATATCTGAAAGTTGCCAAGAAAGTAAATCTTAAAAGTTCTCATCCCAAGAAAAAAAAAATGCTGTAAATATGCGTGGTACCAGTGTCAGCTAGACTGACTGTGTTGATCATTTCACAATACATGTAAATATCACACTGTGTTGTACACTTGAAATTAGGATAATGTTGTACATCAGTTACACCCCAATTTTAAGAATATACAAATTTTGAAATGCCTGGTGATATATTAAATTTCACTGACTGCAATCTGGAGAGCCAATTCTAACACTCGATGAAAAAAATAAAGAACAATGACATAGTATATTTATGCCTTTTAAAAAATTTGTTTTTTAAGATTAAAAAAAAAATCAAACCTACAATGAGTCTACTTTTAAGCTGTAAAATAAAGAAGGCATAAAAATATAACAAAAAAGAGAACTGGACTTGCAAGAGATGTGAATTTCAGTTCAGCTAGACCATAAATGACCTTCAGTGAATCACTACCTAATTACTCTGAGCCTTGTTTTGTTCATCCTGAAAATGATCAGGTTGGACCAGGTAAATGAAACTCACACAAAATCAGTATTCTCTTGAAAAAGCCACCCTAGCAGCAGAACCCTCCCCAGCCCAATTTTCAGCAGTCCCAGGCCAAAGAACATGGACTAGGGACATTAGGAACAAGCAGGGCCTGGAGGTCTGAGACCTGGGCAGGTGAGTGGCAGTTTTGCACCTGCACACACCTATGACAGCAATGGGCCCACCTCCACTAACCAAGTGAGTGACTGCTCTGCACGGGGCAATATGGATAAAGGGCCCAGACTTCTTACTTCTTTATGAGCTCACAGGTTGGGGGGAAAGGGGGAACAACATGTTTACAGACAATTACAATTATCCAACAAAGTCTGCCATTATGTGACAAGTGCTACAGGGCACAGGGGAGAATAGGGAGCTGTGGCCAAGAAAATATACACGTAGATCTAGACCTGTTATCTTATATAAAAGGAGACAGGATTTACGCCTCTAGAAGATGGACTCAATTCAGACACTGTTTTCCCTACTCTTTCTTCTAAGTACAACTGAAAACCCAGGATATTACATATAAAAACATAAGAATACTCTGGAAAGCAGAAAGAAGGCAGCAGACTGATAGGAACCTCAGGATACTGAGAGGCATACACAGGGACTCCTCTGGGGTTCCCATATTCCTCCTACATCCCACATTGAATAATGGAAAAGCCAGCAACCCAAAACGCCAACTGAGTACAGACAAACAAATCCCGAAGAAGAGCCTGCTCTATCTCTACCCAAAAAAACCTAGGAAAGACAGGAACAATCTGGCAAGAGACCATTTTTAGGCAATAACTGGTCTACTCCAGCAGAACACTACAGAAATAACTGTGTTCCCACCCCTACTCCCACCAGTATGATGGGCCCAAACTCCCGAGCTTGGCAGGCCGTTACAGGACCCCCTAACCCCCAGTAGTACCAGAGAAGGCCAAGTGGGCAGCTGGGAATTACATCCCTGCCAGATGGAAACAAGATACCCCAGTCCCATGCCACGGTGTTAGCGGAGCCAAGCAGGGACCAGAACTCCCACCTCTGCCCAGCAGAAACAAGGTGTTGCTTCCCCATCCCACTGGGTAAGATCAGCAGACGTAGTGGAGAGCACAACCATTTACAACCTCTCACCAGTAACCACAGTATCAGTGGAGGCTGAGAGGAGCAGTGAGGAGGGCTCCTCCGCTTCCCAGACAGGCTGGTGCCAGCAGACACCTAGAAGAGGGCCTAATGCCCAGCCCCTGGGGCCACCCATGGCCAGAGAGAGCCTGGAATTGCAAAGCTATGGCAGTAACAAGCAGCACTCCCCTCACCCACCAGAGCAGTGCCAGGACGAAGTCTGCAAGATATAAATAACACTCAGCTTTACTGTACTTAAAACATCTAGGTTTTGATTAAAAATCATATATCTTACCAAGAACCAGGAAGATCACAAACTGAATGATAAAAGACAACAGAAGGGACTGACACCAAGATGAAGAGGTGTTAGGATTACCTAGGAAGGGTTTTAAAGCTACCATGATAATGATGAACACTGAATACCTAAAAAAACTAAGTCTCCACAACAACAGAGAATCTCAGATAAGACTATATATATATCTCCATATATAAAGAATAACCAAATGAAAATTTTACAACTTAGAACATGTAGTAACTGACATAAATAATTCTCTGAATGGAAATTAACAACAGAATAGAGATGACAGAGAAACAGAATCAGTGAACATGAGTGCAAAGAGTACAAATCACCCAATCAGAACAACACAAAGAAAACAGATTGAAGAAAACAAGAACAGAATCTGGGACATATGGGACACCTAAGATCTACGTTATCAGTTTCAGAAGAAAAAAAGGAAGGATGGGCTGAAAAACACTCCATAAATAATGGCCTAAAATTTACCACATTTAGCAAGAAACACAGACCTATATATTCAAGAATCTGAACAGACATCAAATACAATAAACCCCCCAAATCCATACCAAATCACATTATAGTCAAATTTCTGAAAACTAAAGAAAGGTAGCCAGAAACAAATGATGCACTACTTATTAGGGGAAAAACACTCAAAGGATAACAGAGTTCTTGTCAGAAACCATGGAGGCCAAAGGAAACAGCACTCAGCTACCTACTGCTGCAAGAAATGTCAAATCAGAATTCTATTATTAGTGAAAATATTCTTCAGAAATGAAGAAGCAAGCAAGATATCCTCAGATGAAGGAAAACTGAGAATCTGTTGCCAGCTGATTTACACTGACAGAATGGCAAGAGGAAACTCACTAAACAGAAAGTAAAGGATAAAGGAATCTTGATCATCAGGATAAGAAAATAAGGTCTGAACAGAAACACATGTAAATATAATAAACTTAACATCTTGCTTTTTCTAATAAGTTTGACTACTGAAGCAAAATTTATAACATGATCTAACATCTCTCCCAACATATATGAAAGAAATATTTAAGACAATAATATTATAAAATGAGGGAGGAGGAGCTTAAGAGATAATGGTTTGACATGTCACTGGAACTAGTAAAACGTGAACACTTGCCTTTGCAATATGTATATATCATTATAATGTATACTATATAATGTAATATACTAGAGCAACCACTAAAAAAGCAAGAGATACACTAGAAAACATTACAGATAAATCAAAATGTAAGTTTAAAACATGTTCATGTAACTCACAAAAAGCTGAAATGAATAGAGAAATGAAAAACAGAACCAAAGGAAAACAAAAATAAAATGGCATATTTAAACTTAACATATAGAAAATTACATTAAATATAAATGATCTAAATATATCAATTACAGGACAGAGATTTGTCAGATTGGCAGCAAGGAGGATGACCCAACTATTGTCTATCAGCAACTTTGCTTCAAACATAATGATTTCTGTAGGTTAAAAGAAAAAAAGGATGAAAAACAGATAAATTACAAACATTAATAAAAAGCAAGCAGCAGTGACTTTATTAATATCATATAGACATCAAACTTAAGAAAATTACTAGAAACAGAGACATTAAATAATAATAATAAGGGTAACCCACAAAGAAAATATGTGTGTATGAACCAAATGGGAAAGCTACACATTTAGACAACTTATAACCTGGAACCTTTGGTAACCATGAATCTAAAGCCTGCAATGGCAGTAAGTACATATACCTATTGATAATCACCCTAAATGTAAATGGACTGAATGCACCACTCAAAAGACAGTCACTGAATGGATAAAAAACAAGACCCATCTATACACTGCCTACAAGAGACTCACTTTAAACCCAAAGACATACAAAGACTAAAACTGAAGTGATGGAAAAAGATATTTCATGCAACTAATAGGGAGAAAAAAGCAGGAGTTGCAGTACTTGTATCAGACAAAATAGACTTCAAAACAAAGGAAGTCACAAGAGACAAAGAAGGACATTACCTAATGATTAAGGGGTCAATCCAACAAGAAGATAGTGCCCAACACAGGAGCACCTACATATGTGAAACAAACACTAACTGAATTAAAAGGGGAAATAGAATGCAGTGTATTCATTCTAGGAGACATCATCACTCCACTCACTCTGAAGAACAGACAGATCAACCAGACAGAATGTAAGTAAGGAGACAGAGGCACTGAACAACACATTAGAACAGATGGACCTAACAGACAACTACAGAACTCTACACCCAAAAGCAGCAGAATACACATTCTTCTCAACTGCACATGGAACATTTTCAAGAACAGACATACAATAGGCCACAAAAAGAGGCTCAGTAAATTAAAAAAGACTGAAATTGTACCAATCAGTTTCTCAGACCATGAAGGTATGAAACTAAAAATAAATTATGCAAAGAAAATGAAAAACCCCACAAACACATAGAAGCTTCACAACATGCTCCTAAATAACCAATGGATCAATGACCAAATAAAAACAGAGATCAAGCAATATATGGAGACAAAACAACAATAATTCAACACCGCAACACCTGTGGGACGCAGCGAAGGCCATGTTAAGAGAGGAAAATATATTGCAATACAGGCCTACTTCAGGAAGGAAGAACAATCCCATATGAGCAGTTTAAACTCACAATTAACGAAACTAGAAAAAGAAGAACAAATGAGGCCCAAAGTCAGCAGAAGGAGGGACAAATAAAGATCAGAGCAGAAATAAATAAAATAGAGAAGAATAAAATAGAAAGAATCAATGAAAGCAAGAGCTGATTCTTCAAGAAAATAAACAAAATAGATAAACTCCTAGCCAGACTTACCAAGAAAAAAAGAGAGTTTACACACATAAACAGAATCAGAAATGACAAAGGAAAAATCACTATGGACACCACAGAAATACAAAGAATTATTAGAGAATACTATGAAAAATTATATGCTAACAAATTGGATAACCTATAAGAAATGGACAACTTTCTGAAAAAATACAACCTTCCAAAGCTGACCCAGAAAGAAACAGAAAATCTGAACAGACCAATTACCAGCAACGAAATTGAACTGGTAATCAAAAACCTACCTAAGAACAAAACTCCTGGACCAGATGGCTTCACTGCTGAATGTTATCAAACATTTAGTGAAGACCTAATACCCATCCTCCTTAAAGTTTTCCAAAGAGTAGAAGAGGAGGGAATACTCTCAAACTCATTCTATGAGGCCAGCATCATTCTAATAACAAAACCAGGCAAAGACACCACAAAAAAATAAAATGTGCAGACCAATATCCCTGATGAATATAGATGTAAAGATACTCAACAAAATATTAGCAAGCCAAATTCAAAAATACATCAAGAAGATCATCCATCATGACCAAGTAGGATTTATTACAGAGATGCAAGGATGGTACAACATTCAAAAATCCATCGACATCATCCACCAATCAACAAAAAGGACAAAAACCACATGATCATCTCCTTAGATGCATCTGACAGAGTTCAACATCCATTCATGATAAAAACTCTCAACAAAATGGGCAAGTACCTCAACATAATAAAGGCCATATATGACAAACCCACAGCCAACATCATACTTAACAGCGAGAAGCTGAAAACTTTTCCTTTAAGATCGGGAATAAGACAAGGATGCCCACTCTCCCCACTTCTATTCAACATAGTACTGGAGGTCCTAGCCACGGCAATCAGACAACACAAAGAAATAAAGGCATCCAGATTGGCAAGGAAGAAGTTAGACTGTCTCTGTTTGCAGATGACCTGATATTGTACATAAAAAAACCCTAAAGACTCCACTCCAAAACTACTAGATCTAATATATGAATTCAGCAAAGTTGCAGGATACAAAATTAATACACAGAAATCTGTGGCATTCCTATACACTAACAATGAACTAGCAGAGAGAGAAATCAGGAAAACAATTCCATTCACAGTTGCATCAAAAAGTATAAAATACCTAGGAATAAACCTAACCAAGGAAGTGAAAGACCTATACTCTGAAAACTACATGACACTCATGAGAGAAATTAAAGAAGATACCAATAAATGGAAACACATCCCATGCTCATGGACAGGAAGATTTAATATTGTTAAAATGGCCATCCTGCCCAAAGCAATATACAGATTCAAGGCAATTCCTATCAAAATACTAATAGCATTCTTCAATGAACCAGAGCAAATCATTCTAAAATTCATATGGAATCACAGAAGACACTGAATAGCCAAAGCAGTCCTGAGAAGGAAGAATAAAGCTGGGGGGATTATGCTCCCCAACTTCAAGCTCTACTACAAAGCCACAGTAATCAAGATAATTTGGTGCTGGCACAAGAACAGACCCATAGACCAATGGGACAGACTAGAGAGCCCTGATATAAACCCAAACATATATGGTCAATTAATGTACGATAAAGGAGCCATGGACATACAATGGGGAAATGACAACCTCTTCAACAACTGGTGTTGGCAAAACTAGACAGCTACAGGCAAGAGAATGAAACTGGATTACTGTTTAACTCCATACACAAAAGTAAACTCAAAATGGATCAAAGACCTGAATGTAAGTCATGAAACCATAAAAATCTTAGAAGACAATTTAGGCAAAAATCCCCTGAATATAAGAATGAGTAACTTCTTCCTGAGTGCATCTCCTCAATCAAGGGAAACAAAAGCAAAAATGAACTCATGGACTACATCAAACTAACTATCTTCTGTACAGCAAAGGACACCATCAACAGAACAAAAAGGCATCCTACAGTATGGAAGAATATATTTATAAATGACATATCCAACAAGGGGTTAACATCCAAAATATACAAACATCTTATATGCCTCAACACCCAAAAAGCAAATAACCTGATTAAAAAATGGGCAGAGGATATGAAGAGACAATTCTCCAAAGAAGAAATTCAGATGGCCAACAGATATATGAAAAGATGCTCCACATCACGAATCATCAGGGAAATGCAAATTAAAACCACAATGAGATATTACCTTACACGAGTAAGGATGGCCAGCATTGAAAAGACTAAGAACAAATGCTGACGAGGATGCAGAGAAAAGGGAACCCACCTATACTGCTGGTGGGGATGTAAGCTAGTTCAACCATTGTGGAAAGCAATATGGAGGTTCCTCAAAAAACTAAAAATAAAAATACCATTTGACCGGGGAATCCCACTCCTTGGAATTTACCCAAAGAATACAATTTCTCAGATTCAAAAAGACATATGCACCCCTATGTTTATTGCAGCACTATTTACAATAGCCAAGATATGGAAGCAACCTAAGTGTCCATCAGTAGATGAATGGATAAAGAAGAGGTGGTACATATACACAATGGAATATTATTCAGCCACAAGGAAGGAACAAATCCTACCATTTCCAACAACATGGATGGAGATGGAGGTTATCATGCTCAGTAAAATAAGCCAGGTGGAGAAAGACAAGTGCCAAATGATTTCCCTCATTTCTGCAGTAGAACAAGGAAGGAAAACTGAAGGAACAAAATAGCAGCAGACTCAGACTCCAAGAAGGGACTAGCAGTTACCAAAGGGGAGGGGTGTGGGAGGGCAGGTGGGGAGGGAGGGAGATGGGGATTGAGGGGTATTATGTTAGTACACATGATGTGGGGGGGGTCAAGGAGTCACAGGGAAAACAGTGTAGCACAGAGAAGGCAAACAGTGAATCTGTGGCATCTTACTACACTGATGGACAGTGACTGCATTAGGGTATGGTGGGGACTTGATAATATGGGTAAATGTAGTAATCACATTGTTTTTTCATGTGAAATCTTCATAAGAGTGTATATCAATAATACCTTAATAAAAAATATTTTTAAAAAAGGAAAAATCACATGACCATATCAACTGATGCAGATAAAAGTACATCTCTAATTTTTCTGCTACTGGCTCAAGGGTTTTTTGTTTTTTTAAAAAAGGAGAGCAGTACAAGACCCCAATTTCCTCACTTGGACTCATAATGCCAGACCTTCTCCGTACCTCAGGGGTGGGTGCAGCGTAGGCTGCGTAGGGAGGTGGGGAAGAAGCCACGGCTACTTCATCATACATGACTTCTGAGCCAACATAAGCCTATGGGGAGAGAAAGTATGAAAGAGAGTGAGTCACCACAGAGCAACTATGGTTTTTGTGCTGCTACACATAAATCCTTTTTGAAAATTCAGCATATTGAAAACAATTAAAAGCCAAAGAGTTAACTGCTGAGCAGCGAATAAAACTGCCCTCTCAGAAGCAGTAAATGGCAGGAGGAAGCTCTGCCCCAGCACCCGCTCAACTCCGCACACCTTCAGTTCAGGAGGGGGTCCTCCTCAGCCACCCCAGGAGGCAGGGGTAGAGTTCTCACTGCCGAAGAAGGCCACAAGGGCCTCCACTGTCACCAGGCCTTTTAAAAAGTTATAAACCTCTGTTTACAAATTAAAATCCTGTAATCTAAAATGTAGCACAGATATGTTCTATATACAGTCTGTTTTTCCCATTAAAAAAAACTTTTTTCTGGTGGAAAAAAACATATGTACTCTTAAAAAAAAAACCCATATAAAGAATTATTTTGGGATCTTAGCCCTAACTATATAGATCATCAATATTTATTTCATCTAAGAGAACTGTCATGAAAGAAGTAATTGGAGTTTGGGGGAAGAATTCTCTTAGACTAACAAGAGTACAAAACAATGATATTTGCTTATTAGGCCTAAATTTTTACTTTCATTTCCCGAGTTTTTTATAAACTTCACTGACCTTTTTCTTTTCTTCCTAGAGATAAAGGAAAAAGTAAAATCCTACCTGAAGAATCAGAGCTGACCAGAGGAAGTTGCCCTGATTATCTGACAGGCACAAAGATAGCCTTAGCAGCCTCTACAAATGGGGTTTACTGTCTAATTGACCTCCCACAGTTGGAAGCAGAACTAGAGACAAGAACAAATCCCAAAAATGTTTATTTCACAAGGCTGAGATGCTATACATTAAAAGGACCCTGTGGTCTTTTCTGCACCTTCTTTGTAAGCCACAGCAGAATCCAAAGTGTTGACAATCTTTGTGAGATACAAACATTTCTAGAGAACAACACTGGAACCACTGTGCCTATGTTAGGAGGGCTCCTCTGCCAAACTGTTCAGCAAACCCCAGCTCACTCACAGTCTGCACAAGGCGCCCTGCCCAGCTCTGCTGGCCCAGCCATAGCTGGACGGCCAAGAAATTCCCATTTCCCTTTTCCCTTTCCTAATCTCCTATTCTCCTATTTGTTACAGTAAAAACACATAAAAATACTATTGGTAATTGCCATTACAACTTACTGTGTTTGTCCTGGAATCCTGGAGAGTAAACTTCCAGGCTCTGGAGAAAAGAAAAACAAAGGGGTACTTTATCGGAGGCAATTCAACATTTATCTCAATGATTCCCAAACCTATGCTGGCAATCAGACTTTCTGAAAAAGCTTTTTTTTAAGAATGGGTTTTCAGCCCTTGCCTTAAGACCCACTCAATCAACTCATTTGAGACATGTACTAGAATATATAGTATGTAAAAAAAAAAAGTATCTGTAGTGTTCACAATATATAATAAAAGTATGGCCTATACTACACAGTCTTTTCTTTACATTTTAACAGACTTAAATTCACCTTAGACATAAATGCTTAATGCCTCACTTTTAATGGTTACATAATACTCCATGGTACAAAATTACACTGTCAGCTTTCCCAATTAAAAATAATGCTGGTATTTTTTTGCCAGCTTGAGAAACTGACATGTAATGTGTTAAATTTAAAGTATATAAACAATATGATGATCTGATACATATATATTGCAGAATGATTACCACAATAAGGCTAATAACACCATCCCCTCAAATAATTACTTTTTTCTGGTGATAACATTTAAGATCTACTCTCTCAACTTTTGGGTATATAATAGTGTTGTTAATTATATTCACCATGCTGTACATCAGATGCCCAGACCTTACTCATCTTGCAGCTGGAAGTTTGTACCCTCTGACAAACACCTCTCCATTTCCCCCAAACCCCAGGCCCCAGCAACCAAAGCCCAACCCTAGCAAAGTTGTTTGTATACTTTACAATATTACATGTCAATTTCTCCTATTTCTGAGTTTGGCTTTTTTAGATTCAACATGTAAGTGAAAACACAGTATGTCCTTTCTGAAAAATTTGGATTCTACTCTTTTGAGAATATTTCTTGAATGTCTTGTGCTAGGGATACCTCACAACCAGAGAAGTATCCTATTCCTGTGAGCTTCAGTGACTTCCAGTGCTCTGGAATGACAGGCGTGGAGGAGACTTCCAGTCTCTGTTGAGGTTCCAAATACATCATATTCTCAAGAGTTCTTCCTTATCTTTTCCAAAAGTATCTTACTTCCTTAATCAGCCTCCTCTACACTGCAGACTACTACTGAAAATTTGTAAGATGTCACGAACTCATCTGGTTACTGCTTCTGGGAGTTAGGGTATGGCTAAAAACAGTGATATGTCGCAACAGAATCTATTTCTTTCTTTGGCTGTCACTCTTCATAGTTTGCACTTGAAGTTAAACCTCTTTATTTGGCTGTTGCTGCTGAAATGTTTTCTCCTTCATTTCACTAGGTAGTAGGGAAGATGATCTAGATTCATTTCACCTTTTTACTCAAAGGTCTCTGCTATGGGTTGAATTATGTCCCCTGCCAAAAGATAAGATGAAGTCCTAATCCCCAGTATCTGTGAAATTACTTAGAAATAGGGTCTCTGCACATGCAATCAAGTTAAGCTGGAAATACTGAATTAAGGTGGGTCCTTACTGTAACTGGTGTCCTTACAAGAAGAGGAAATTTGGATGCAGGCACACATTCATGAGGTAAGATGGTGAGCATTTATGTATGTGTACAGTGCAAGGGGGGTATAATTTTAAATATGGCGATCAATAATAAAATGCCATGTTCCTGCAGCGATCAGAATGACGCAGCTGCTAGCCAAGGAATGGCAAAGATCCGAGGCCACAACCAAAACTGGGATGAGGCAAGGGAGGATTCTGCCCAGTCTCAGAGGAAGCACAGCTCTGCTGACACACCGATTTATACTTCCAGGTTCCAGAACTACGAAAGAATAAATTTCTGTTGTAAAAGCTACTCAGTCTATGGCACTTTGCCATAGGAGCCAAAGGAAATTAAGTCTCCTCTGCTTTACTTTATCTTTATGTGTCATTTTATTTCAAGTGTGTTTCTTAGTAACAGTATAACTGGATTTTGTACTTTTTTGCCCAATATGATTTTATTCTTGTTAAGGGGAATTTAACCAACTCACATTCATTTGAGACCACAGATATCATTAGTTTAATTACTGCTACCTCATTTTCTGTCATGCTTTATTAATTTTCCTGATGTTTCTTTTTTTTAAATTAGGAATGTTTTCTGTTCCTTTTTATTCTTCCAGTTTAAAATAAAAATTATGTTCCATTGTTACTCTAACTTATACTCTTAAAATCAGAAACATATATAAACTCTATTTTCCCATACAGGTTAAGAAAGAGTCAACCCCCTCTGACCCATCCACTCTTCCAGGCTGAGCAAAGCAAGTTCTTTAGCATACTTTTACCTCTTCTCCCTCTTCTATGACAAAACCTCCTCTGTTTTGTTAAAATAGTCTAGAATTTTAGTTCCAGGTATTTTTTCCATTATTACTTACAGGAACATTGCATGCATGTGACAGCTCAGCACATGGCAGAGAAGAGTACTTAAGGACAAGGGCTCTGGAGACAAACGTTCAAACCCTGAGTCTAGTCTAGCAGCTCTCAAACCTTGGGAAGTGTCATCAGTAGAATGATGACTCCTCCCCACAAAGTTATCCACGTTGTAATCCTCACAACCTGTGACTACGTCACCTCACAAGGCAAAGGTCTGCAGCTATAACTGAAGTCAAGGACCTTGAAATGATGAGTCTACCCTGGATTATCCAGGTTGGCCCAAACTAGTCAAGAGTACTTACAAGCAAATAACCTCTTTCGGCTGCAGAGAGCCAGGAAGATGACAGCATGAGAAGGGCTAGGCCCAGAAGCCAAGGAATACATGCAGCCTCTAGGGCTGGAAAAGGCAAGGAAACATTCTTCCCCAGAGCCTTCAGAAGGGATCGTGGCCCTGCCACACCGTGAGACACAGAGCGATCCCTGTTGGACTTCTGACCTCCAGAAATGTAATCATAATTGGTATTGTTTGAAGCCACTGTACTTACTACAGAAGCATTAAAAACCTGACACAGGATGTTACCTGACCTCACTATTCCTTAATTTCTTGTGACAAAAGGAACAGTACTGACTTTACAAGACAGATGGGGATTATGTAACAGAGTTACAGCAGTTAGCACAATGCCCAGAGCCAACTTAAGTGTTCAATACATGAAAGCATAAACGATTAAGTAGTAGTATTATAGTTCCAGTTTATAAAAAAGCAGTCGACTGGCAGGACATGTTGTCATTTTTTCATCAGTCTTTAGGAAAGTCTCATTCCTTCCAGAAAGTATCACTTTAAGACTGATGAATATAAATCAGAAGATCGTAAAAAAGAAACTGCACATATTTAAAATCCTTGAGTTTAGCATGGAATAAATGTTATACTGAGGATGAACATGTACGTGAAGAGCAGGGACAGGCACGCTGACAAACTGATCTTTTATGAAATATTCTTTTAAGAAATGCTGGACTTTATGAAAATGTCACATATCTATGATTAAAATGATCTCAATTAGTGAGTTCTCACAACATTCCAGACTTAACCCATAGTACTGGTATAGAGTAGACAAGAAAAAAAAATTCTCCCCAAATTTCATTTAATCAATGCTTTAAGATTCTGATCCAACCTCAATGGCAATGTTGACGGGCTGAGAATCGATACAGCTGGGTTTCCTTCTTGCAGCTCCATACCCCATCCTCATAATGGCAGATGGGACTGAGACCCCCGCAAAGGAAGGACAGGGCTGCATAATGCAGGTGTCGGGCTTTGTAAAAAGACACTTGCCTACAAAGAACAAGATTTAAGAACCCACAGAACTATGTCCATAACCCAATGTGCACCCAGTAATGAAAGCAGCGAAAATGACGGTGCACTGACTTTCTGCCATTCCCAGTATTTAACAGGGTCCTGTCTGCACAGCTCTGGAGGGCCAGAAAGGAGGCTCGAGGTTACTGGAGACGGAATAAGACCCTGCCACATGTCTTTCACACATCCTCTGAGCCACTTATTCTGCTGCCTGAAGGAAAACTCCACACCCATTCTTTTCCTTTCCTGATAACTGGAAATTAAAACAGAAAATATTTTTTTTAATTAAACACATGAAAAAACGAACTTACAAACAATCATCTGTGCTTTCTGCACAAAGACTGATGGTTTTCCCATCTCGGCAAACGATCTGCAGCATACAGCCTCTTGGCTTCCCATCCGGAGGCTGAATATCTATGAAAAATGAGTAGAATTAAGGAATATTTATATGTTTTTAATAGATTTCTTATTATCTAATAGCTCAGATAAGCAGAGTACCAGTACTTCAGAACATTCCAATTACAAAGCACCTTCGTTCTGCTCTGCAGACCCGAGCACAGAACCACAACCCCGTTCCGACTGAACCTCCCACAGGAAGATCAGGGAGGCCTCTGCTGGGGGCGAGCCCCATTCGGAGAGGCAAGGGAAGAAACAGCCCCCGTTATAAACAGCGCCAGATAACACAGCACTTACTGCTTTTTTTCACAGAAAGCATTAAACTAATCACTAGTTTAAAAGTGAAAAATCCGATTTTTAAAGTATCTCCATGTACCAAGATAAGACCTATGACATCTGTGCCTGGTTTAGATAGGGCTTTCACCAGCCTACCCGTGGAGACTGGAGTTCCAAGAACTACTATGTAGGGGCTGTTTCAAGCAGATTATCTCACTTGTGACTCCCTGATTCAAGAACTCATATGCAGACACAGGAGGCTGTTACCAACATCCGTGTTTACTACGAGACTCTTTATTCCAAATGTCAACAGAGCTAAAAAAAAAAAAAAAACTAACAGGAAGTCTACATATATCATTGATTAGAAATAGAAAAGTCTGTTTGTTAAAAAATCTGTTCCTTTAAATTGAATATAAGAGATAACTCCAGGGAACCGAGACATCATGGATTTTAAGAAACTGACAAGAGTTGTCATCCATAAGGTAACAGTTCCTGAGTCACAAAATCTATACTGCCTTGGGCTCTGCCTTGGGCTGCTCCAGCCTTGCTGGGGTCCCAGCACTCACATCTTAGGAAGGAATGTGGACTGATGGCTCTAATTCAGATGAGCAAATTTATAGTTCATATCTATCTAGGTGTCTGGGTCCCCACTGACAAAACCCTTCTTTGATCTGTTAATGAAAACGGAATGGTATAGGAGCCAGAAGACAACCTGGCCAAGACAGACTCGCTCACCCCGACACTCGGGCCCTGTGCGGATGTTGATGCAGTCCACGGGCATGTGGACCTTATCCTCAACACTCTGTCGAGTCTGGTCATCATAATAGATGAGGTGACCATCTGACCACAGGTCAAACCAATTCTTCTTCCAGCGCTTCAAAATAGTACCTGAAAAATAATGGGAAAGGTTGGCTTTGGATGGAAAGAGCAAGGACTTTGCCCTCTATAATTCACAGGAAACAGAAACGAGGGAAACTTTCCTCTGGCCCCACAGGTATACCTGCACACCATGGCCCAGAACAGTCCATAAGCAAGGAGTGTAAGCAGATGGACGCCACACAACAGCAGGGCTGCATGATGTCCACACTTGAGATACTAAGAACACTGCCAACTTAAAACTCCCAAAGAGTAACAAAAAAAAGTTCAATAAACCTTTGATTCTGAGCTATAATAAAACTTGTCTAACATTTAATTCTCCATGTAGTATACCTAACATTTAATTTTCCATGTAGTATACCTAAACTTCCCCAGTGGTATTTAACTTTGCTAGACTGATCGGAAAATGTTAGACTGTAAAGGCTGTATCTATAAACATTTTCCTCTTTTGGAAAAACATGTTTTTCTCTTTTCCTTAAAGGCTTTCAAACGGACTTTTCTCTAATATTCACTGCCCACAGTATGCGAGAGTGTCCTCACCTGAGGCAGACACAGAGGCGGGCTCAGACACTGGGCACACTCACACCCAGGACCTGGCCCCGAGCCCAGGGCTGACTCCCACCTGCATACAGCCACCCTACTGCCTCACACATCTGTGTCTGAGAGAATTCACTCTTTCATTCCTAACGTTGGACTACGCACTTGACTTTATGAAACTAATTCTCGTGTCAGCCAAAAGAGCAAACTAAAAGGATAGTTTTAGCTCCAAGTCATCCCTGTGCGTTTCTCACATCCGTACCACCTTCTGCATCTTCTGTTCCTGTAGATCCCACCCTGTTCTCAGACAACATACAGAAACGCTATTCCATGTACCTCTCCTAATGTTCCCATGTCCCCTCTACTGGTATCAACCAAATATGTGCCACATCAGCCCTCTGAATGTCTTTTACCACCATGAGCACCCTCCCTGCCAAGACAGGTATCTGCAGCACATGCCTAAATTGGGAGGCGACATCCAGTATCTATGTTTAGCAGCACCTGAGCTGTGCAGGAACCACCAACCAAACAGGACCACCTAAACACAAACAGATGAGTGAGTCACCGAGCTAGAGAATTCTACCCTAGCACCTCCCCTGCCAGCAAAGCCCTGACTACAGATTCCCAAATTACGCTGTCCTCGAGTTCAGATACTGGGTCTTATGGCCTAAGCCACAACGGCAAGAAAAGGGATACTGGAGACAGTCTGGCATCAATGTGACCACACTGTGTAATTCTGCTGCTCTACAACTCAGGGAATATAATACACCTCATCTCATTTTATTTAATATGATTGATACACTGCTTTTAGCAAGGAAAATCAACCCACACATCAGGAGATGGGGAAATGAAGAAAGTCTTCCGAATACACACACTTATGAGATAAACATGGACTAGGACACTGGAAAGTCAAGTCTGTACAGCTTATTTAAAGGACATCTGTGCACGTATCACCCCACACACTGATGGCGAACACGCAATTATTCTGTTGACAGAGCAGTTACACTGAGTTACGGTGGAGAGAGGAAAGGTGCCCTCAACCAAGGGTGCAGTAGAGCCTAAGGAGAAAACCACAGGGCGCCTGAGGGGCCCAAAACAAGACGTGTCCCCAAGGTCTGGAGCAAGGCTCTCTCCGTGGCCCTGAATGCGCCATCTGAGGGAGGCAAGACAAGGAAACTTACACAAAGACTGGGGCTAGACTCCAACATGCCAGGACCTTCTTTCTGAAGCTCCACATTTTAAGAGCTCTATCTATTCTTAGAATACAGATTGTCAGACTGCAGTATTGCAGAATCTCAGTCACTGCTCAATCCCCAGATTAGACAGGTGATTTCCACAAAGAAGGCAGCACCTCCACACTAACCTATCGGCTCAGCTTGGTTAGGTGAAGGCAGAACCTCAGGTCAGCCATTAGTAAGAAAGCGTGCTAGTGAGAAAAGAGCTCTGGTTCCTCCAAATGCAGCAACCCAGAAGGCTGAAAAAACAAGCAGAAAAACTGCTCATCGAGCTCTAAAATTTTCCAAGAGGAATTGCAGGGCAACTTCACAGATAAATCTTTACAATTTGTTAAGTATGATCTGTTTCAGCAGCAGCAATAAACACAGGCCCTCAGGCAACACCCCACACAGACAGAGGCTCCGTCCCATACTTACTCTGTCGCAGCAACCATCCGCTCTTCACAAATGCCATCTTTCACCTACAGGAGAAGAAATAGGCAGGCTCAAAAGTTATACCCGGAAAAGAGGATGGCACATATGAGCTGCTTTTCTCACCACATTTCTGATACCAAATGGGTGGGGTTTTTCTACACCAACAATCAATTCTCCAACTCTCAGGACGCTGAATGGATGGATGTGTGTATACTGACTGAACTCAATTCTGACCCCCTACCTGGAGCAGCACCAGACCCCACAGCTTCGAGACTCAGTTCCAAGAGCACTCCCACTTCAGACCTATTCAGTTCAACCCAGTTTTGCTAAACAGAAAGCCTTGGAAGAGGGTCTCCCGTGCTTCTGACCTTTAAACTGGGGGTTCAATCATTTGAGAGAGTGGCTTAGGGAACTCAGGAAAGCACTTTACTATTACCTGTTGCTGATAAAGGATGCAACTCAGGAACAGCCACTGGAAGAGATGCACAGGGCAGGATGTCGGGGAGAGTGCACAATAGCACTAAGTCATTAATGTGTCAGCAGGCAGGGTGAGGGGCAGAGCACAACACCATTAAGTCAAGTCATTAAGAAAAAGTCTAACAAAGTTAATTCTATAGAAATAAAAACCCAAATAGCAAACAAAATGTCAAAAAATGAGCTAATTTTCTTCACTTGCAAAGCCCACTCACTTGTACCAGAAACAGCAATTACTTGCAGTTCAAAAAGGAAACATGAATGGACAATAAACTCGTAAGATACTCAATTTATCTATCAATTCAACAGAGAAAACTCAAAACACAAGTTCATAACATTACTTATCAGATGAGCACAATGGAAAAACTAAGATACTCAAAAGGAAAAGGCGTGACTTGAGAGCTGGACCGAAAACTGCTGCCACTTTCTGGGAGGGGAATCTGACAACACCCACTCACATCCCAATGTTCACACACTGACCCAGCAGCCTCCCATTACTGCGTTCACACCTCATTGACACACACAGGCAGGTCTGGCAGCATATGCAGATGTGTGTTTCTGGGGACAGGAATGAGGACACGCTGTGTATGTACCAGAAAGAGGGTGGCTATTCAGTCCTATACACCTTTTCTGTACTATGTAAGTTTGTTTTAACAATTTACATGTATTACTATCTTTTGTTTTTTGAAACCAACAGACATTATTTGGAGGCTGAGATTTCTGGGCCGCTTTCATTTTCTACTTTAGCATTTTTAGGTATTCTTGTTAAGGCTCTATGGTTTGAAAGGTTAGCAACACATCAAAAGAACAAATGAGTCTCCCTCGTTTAATTTTTCCCACTTCTAAGTAGGGCTGGATTTTTGCCTACCTCTAGCCCTTCAGATAAAGAGCCCCACGAGCTTTAATCATCCGACATTCCAGCACTCCACAATCTTGTACTGAGGGTTCTTTATCTCCTTGCAATCTCTGTCAGTTCACTGTCTTGTCCTCACCCAGGAAAGAAGTTTTTTATCTTTCCGCAAATTCCACCACACATGTAGGTGCTCAAACACACAGCACCAGACAGACTAGCTCGAGAGAGCCCGTCTCCCTTTCTCCCAGCGGGCAGCACAATGCACCTGCTGCTGGCAGCCTCCTCCTGAGCTGAGCGTGCGCGCCAAGCAGAGACTGCAGAGCTCACTGTTGAGCCGCTGACTCAACCAACAGGGAAACCAGCCCTCTTCCAAGGCTTTCTGTTTAGCAAAACTGGGTTGAACTGGTTTCCTGCAACTTTCAACCTAAAACATCCTCAAACAATTCATTTGCTTCTGAAAGGGTTTGAGGCAGAGAAAAAATACCATTATATTTTCACTGAACAAATATTCTTTGAGCATCTGAAGTGCTTATGGGAGGCATAGAGGACACAGGAGTACCTAGGCCAAAGTCTCTGCTTCCATGCAGCCCACAGAATACATAGGTTAAGTTTATAAATTAAAAGACAGGCAATGGACTATTATAACTAAGATCACATCTCTATGGTGATGCTATTACTCTAGAACATCAAACTGCAAGTATTCATTCATACTAAGTCCTGGATATTTATACTAAAACTTTCCACTGTCATAACATGAACTGTTTGGATTTCATGTGAAAAAGAATAAATCTTGGAACAGGCAAAAAATTACTTACAGGTATTGGTAGCTACCTAGTTACAATACAAATGTAAAACCTCACTGCATCTTACTATGTTAACAGATAGTAACCACTCTAAAAAAAATTACTTACAGGTATTGGTAGCTACCTAGTTACAATACAAATGTAAAACCTCACTGCATCTTACTATGTTAACAGATAGTAACCACTCTAGATGGGGTGAGGATTTAATAATATGGGTACCTGCTGAACCACTGTGTTGTATACGTGAAACCAATATAAAATTAGATGGCAACGATACTTCAAAAAAAAAAAAAACCTCACCGAAATGTTGTCACACAACTTGGCTGATACCTGATGAGCTGGTGGCTGTGGAACCAAGTTACTAACATAAAAATGTGGAACAAAAGAAAGGAGTCTCCTGAACTTTTGTGGTAAATGTTTAAAAATCTCTAAAGATTCATGGTATTAACTTGGCTATATAGTCCTAAGAGTCACTCACAATGTCAGATAATGTACACTGAGATTAAGAACAGCTTCATTACTAAAAGTCTTTCAGACTCTGAGTCCAACAATTTCACAGGCCTTCAAGAGGAACCGCAATGCTAGCACCCAGATTTCCTATTATCTGATTATCACCTACTAATTGAATGGATCAACATCTCAGTTCGCAGTTATGGTGGCTATGTTTTCTTTGGTGTTTCTTTAGGGTGAGACCAGGTTTCTTTTACTTTTCAGGTAGCTGGAGCTCAAGATATGTCAACAAGAAGAAACCAAACAGCTGACCTGGGAATCAATTCCAGGCCACTTGAGTCAAGATTCAAAAGAAAACAAAAGACTTCTACAACTAGAGGACATCAGAAATGTACCCCTGCTGTGCCTACACAAAATAGTTCACGCCACTGGAGAAAGAGAAAATTAGAGTATTACAACAAAGTAGGGAGAAACTTAAAACTGCAATTAGCAACAGAACTCCTCACTTTCTGAAAAAGGGTGATCCTTCTGCAGTCTTGAGTAGCTTCTTATCTGGTACCATCTTGTCTACCTTTAGTCATTATGTGGAACAATCTCACATTTACCTCAGAGCCCAGATTTTTATCGCTAATACTGGTCTCCTCAAAAAGGAGCCAGTGCTCCATGAAATGAGCTGGTTACAATTTAGGGACAGGAAACCTTAAGATGTGCCTAAGATATCTTAGTGTCAAGAAACAAAGATGCTTTCTGGAAAACCTTTAGAAAGGATAAAGAGCTCAACCAGCTGAGGGGCATCTGATGGCCGACCGTAACAACCTGAGTGCTAAACTGAAAATTGTCATTACAGTTCCTGAGGACCAACTGAGGCTGAAAGACATCCTAAGTATAAAATGATGATTAAAACTGATACAATGCTATAGAATGTTAGAGAAAAGACATGGAATTTCACACAACTTGGCAGGAGATGAAGCTGAAACACTCTGACTTGTACAACATCTTTCCCTCACTGGATAACTCACATGGTTATTGCATCAATATTAAGAGATATTTGTTGTGTTTACCCTCTGTTAGGATTTCTTTTTTAGTCAAGAAGTCTAGACTTCTGTGTTAAGGATTCATGTATGCTGAACCTCAAGCAGCAGGGAAGACTGTAGTAACAGGCTTTAACCAGCCCAGAAGTTAGGCTGCTGGGGAGAAACGAATCCGGGGAAACAAACCCTGGATTCACACCCTCATCAATGTTCTGAGTTTGGTTACTTGCATTTACAAGCCACTTTTCCGAAAAAACAGAAGAAGCTAAGAGGATACTAAAGTCCCATGATAAACGGAGCTTCCTAAAGTAGCTTGTGGCATCTTCACTCCGATCAGCAATATAATCAGCCATGGGCAACTACCTGGGGGGCTAGGGCTGGTGTATTTTGCCATCTAGCAGACTGCACTGTGGGCAGTCATCTGAGTGCAAGAAAATAAGTTCTTGATCTCGATTAAAGAGATGTGCATCCTTTGTGTCTACAAGCTTCCTCGGCAGGAAGCACACTGGTATGGCCATCACCACGTGGAGCACGTTGCCTTGTCAGCCTCAGCCTCAGGCAGGAAAAGCACCCTTGCCTCTGGATCTCAATCCAAAAGCAACATACAACACAACACAGACCTTCCACACTGGACCTGATAAATAAGACACAAAGGCAACAAATCCTTAAATAAGCAGCTGCCATCATCTGCCCCTTAAATTGCCCATCGCACCTATGCCGGACCACAGCTAAATCCTTCAACCTGGCATCTGTCCTGCCAGGCTCCTCCAGCGTATGCTGACCCCTGACCACAAAGCAGAGGAGGGACAGTGCCTGTCACTCAGCCTTACAGAGCACTCTCGCCACAGCCTAGGCCAGGCACCTACTCATCAGCTCAGATCAGTTCTGGGTCCCGGACACTGCCAGCCTGTCCTGCTTGAGGCTCCCTAGGGCCAGTGCTCAGAGAAGAACAAGAAGACACCTATTTGAAACACTCATCTTTCCATTTTTCCCTCCGTATTATACAGAATGGTACATATTTCTGAAAAACCCACATTTCTTGTCACTAAACACTGTAATTCAGGGTTATTTTCAAAGAGAACACAACACTAACATTAAAATGATGATCTATAACAAAATATACCAATAATGTGAAGATCACCCATGGTGACTCCTTGGCAATTTCCAACATTAATGAGGAATTACAAGGAGCACAAACAGCTAACTCTGCTCCCTCCCCAAACGCAACTAAAATGAGAACTGAGAAACTAAGGCATAAATGCAAAAACACAGACAGCAGTGGAGGCAAAAGCAGATGAGACAGTGACAACACTGTGCAAGTTACAACAAATGGACAGTACTGACCAACATAAAGCTCAGCTTTCTTAGCTCTGCCATGTAGTAACAGGAAGCCAAAATACAGCAGGCCAACTGCAGTCACAGAACACTAGAAAAAT